ATACAATTGAAGCGTGCTTTAAGTTCGATGTGAGCGTTCCACCATCTACCTTGGCTTTTTTAATGAACTTTGTATCTCTCTTCCTTTAGGTTCCAAAGTTGAAACCCTCTAATTTTCGACACCTCCTAAAACTACGATGGATGGAAGAAGTGAGAAAGGGTGATAAGGGAGTAAACAATTGCCCTAGGGAGGGTGACTGGCTATTACGGCAGTGATGGAGTTGTGCTAGACTCACCTTAGTTTTGCATGTGAGGATGAGTAATAGTCTCTTTTTTTTTAGTACAACGATGTATATTACACTAAAAGAAGGGGATGAGGAGTTCAGCTAAATCATACAATGGGCAACCGAATTTGGTATCAAATTTGTTATTCATGAGATTTAAACCTAAGACCTCTTACTTACAAATAAAAAGAAATACCATTAGACTATAGTACTGAATAGCGAGTAATAATCTTTTTTAAAAATGAACGCTTGAACCTACTTGAGAACTTTTCTAGTTTCTCTTTTATGACCGGCCACTGATGACTCTTCCAACACACGCCATCACTTAATATTTGAATTTTTCAAATTTATAACAAAATTCAATCACCATTCTTCTAGTGAAAACCGGTCATGGAGTCCTTGGGCCCAATGAGCTCTGTCAAACCCGAAACTATTTCAAAGCCATTGAAGATGTTTGACTGCCATCATAATTAATTTTTTCCTTCCTTCAATTAATCACATTAATTATTTCATCACTTGTCAAGGATACAATGTTCAATTCATTAAGGTTGTAATCAACGAGACAATGAGCGATGTAGAACCTTTTGTTTCAACTTTCAACAAATTCAGACCCTTTTGATTCAACTTCTTAGCAAGGCCAATGTCCTTGAGGAAAGTTTGAACATCCCCACCTCCTCCCCGACTCTGCCCGCCCTTCTCTTCATGCTCTCTTTTCCACGTCACTCACCACCTCACAAGACTCGTCAACAAAAAATATTAACCATATTTGTTTGAAAATAATCGTGAAAAAAAGTTTTTGTAAGCATCTTATCTTTGATATCATGATGACAAGGTAATTAAGGAAATAATTTATTCTAAAGTAGAAATTGCAGAAATGAAATAAGAGCAAGCTCTAATTACCCCTTGCTCCTTAATCACCATTTATAATATAACAGTTATAAATCTTCCTTCATTAATTCTGCCGTGAAATGTCATTTTGGCTGAGTGGTTAGGGCGTAGGCTTGCTAAGCATATGGGGTATTCCCGTGAGAGTGTGAAACTCTCAAACGACGTTTATTTTAATCATATTATTATTTTTCGTTAAGTCCTATTTAAATCATATCTTCCTTTATTTCTGGAAGCTTGGTCGGCGCCTTCACCAAGTGCCCCCTCCGTTCTCAGCCAACTGATCGAGTCTCGGCGACTCAGTCGGTCAGCCTTTCAAAACATTATTTCTCATGGCAATGCTGGGACACGTGTTCGGCAGTTAGAGCCCCTCCATGACCATAAAAGCCAATTTGTCTTTTGAGTGGGAATCCCAGTCCGGTCAACAATATTAATTATCATTTCGTCCCATTGAATTTTGAACAGCCAAATGAAGTAGATGTCAAATTTTGGATGAAAATGTTTCATATTAAAATTCTTTTAATCCAAGCGTTATTAGCAAATTGAGTTTGAAATTTTGTGATTAAGAATTGAATGTGGCATCACCGTCAATTTTATTTTCAATATTAGCAGTTTAATGATGGTTTTCTTATTCAACTAACATTTTAACCAATAAAATTTGTATTCTAATTATTTTTTTAATAAATACAATCATTTAAAGTTCTATACTAATAAGAAAATATTATTTAACAATTTGATCAAAGAAAGAACCATCAAATTATGATATAAAATTTCAAACTTCACCATTGCTAAAAATTTCCTAAACTTTTTAGCCGCAAAAAGTGATGAGTGATAAGTATACTACGAAAGCACTTGCAGATTTCAAGATTCCAATTTGCATACACTAAGAGTCCACGGTGCCATTTTCCATTGGCCAAATCGGATAAATGATCATTGTGGTCATACGGTATTCGGAAGATAGCCCATGTACTGAAAAAACTCGGATTTAAACCCCTGTGGTGTACTCTGTTAACAAATTTAGTCCAAAAGTGATTTTTCCGTTAATTATCTATTAATGCATGAGTAAAATTGTACTTTGACATGTGCACTCTTCCTCGTCTCTCTGCTTTCTCTGTGATTTGAATTTTCACAAAACCAATTATGAGAAAGCCGTCACTGAGATCAGCAGGAAGCTTCAAGACTGGCCTCTTGTTGCTTTCTACGAACAGCAAGAATTGAAAGAATCAACCTTTCACTTGCAATGGAAACAAGGCCGCAGTTTAGAACATTTCGATGACATTAATTACCAGGATCACATCGTGCTCTAATTGAAACACTTTTGTATTAAAAGAATCAACCATCCAGGCAGCTTCAAGTATGGGAAATTATATGGATGCACCAGTTGATGAGACAATATTTGATATTGAGAATGAGATTGATGATTTATTACTGGTTGAGGTGAAGGAGCAGCGTCTTAGTAACCTGCTTCAAGCCGTATTGGTGGGGGATGTGTTACACAGAGAGCAGAGAGACGAGGAACAGTGCACATGTCAAAGTACAATTTTACGTATGTATTAACAGATAGTTAACGGAAAAATAACTTTTGGACTAAATTTAGTAACGGAGTAAACCACATGGTTTAAATCCGAGATTTTTTAGCACATAGGCTATCTTCCGAATACCTTATAACCACATGGATCATTTATCCGATTTGACCTTTTCTATTTTGGTAAGGAGGAGTCTACGGTGTCATAAACATTTTTGAATGTGTACGCATATGAAACTTAAAAATAATCCATTGACCTAAATACACACTCAGTCTTTCATCCTAAACGTTCACGCAAGTGCAACTTACAAATAATCCGTGTACTTTTAATATTTTTGGTTCTACAAGACGTAGACGGCGTAGAGTCTGAAAAAAAATATACTAGAATGTTATGAGGCCAAGTGAATTAGTTATTTATGCAAGCAACCTTTAAGAGAAGAGATTTTCATTTTTTTATTTTTTATTTTTTTTATAAAAATGGGGATTAGTTGTAGGGTTCACATCACATTGAACTTTAACGATCTGAACCGTCTATTTTCAAGTTGCACCTCATAGATCATCCTTGCAAAATATTAGCCAAATCGGCAAATGGTTTCAGATTGAATTGAATTTTTGCAAGGATGATTTATGAATCGAGACTTATAAAATAGACGGTTCAGATCGTTAAAGTTCAGTGTGAAATCAACCTCACACCTAATCCTTATTTTTTGAAAAAAATGAGAATCCCTTTGCCTAAAGGGCTATATATATTTATATGTACACATACACACACCAGAGTGAAAGGACTGAAAAAAGTGTCTGAGATCGTCGAAAACGCTTTGCTTAGTTAATACTAAGCATGAAAGTTCAACCCTTGCGACACAAGACGCAACTTTATAGACATTAAAATTTTGAGTCAAAGGATAGCATATATATATATATATATATATGTATGTATATGGTTATAGGCCCTTTGTACAAAGGGATCTCTATTTTTGGGTAAAAATGAGGGCTAACTCCACGTCGAATTTCAATAATTCGAACCGTCTATTTTGTAGTCTCGATTTATAAATCATCCTTGCAAAAATTCAATTTAATTCGAAACCAATTGTCTATTTAATTATCACGTTAACATTTCATTGTTTCTTAGAAAACAAAGTGTTTGCAATTTCTTTGAACTCAATTAGATGCCTCAAATATGGTTGAAAAATAAATAGTTCGGATTGTTAAAGTAAGATATGATGTGAGTTCAACAACTAATCCCTATTTTTATAAAAAAAAAAATGAAAATTCTTTCCCTTAAAAGCCTCCTATATGGTTGAATAATGTAGAGGAATAGAACAAACATCAACATGAAAGGTAGGAATATTCTTTGATTATGATTGGGGTTGTGTTAGCCTGCTAGGGACACAACTTATACGTTTGCATGGATTCAACTCAAGTTGTAATTTGTATGGACGACAAATTGGGTCAAATACATTACCAAGCTAATCAAATGCGGCTTTAATTTGTGTTTAGGGTAACCATACAAAAATCACCAAACTTAAGTCCATATCATTCTAATTCTCATTTTCTGTAAGTAAGCATGCCAAAATTAGATCTAATTTTTTACAGTACTCTATACATTTACTAAACATGGGTATATAAATTATTCTAAATCGTGCGTAAAAAAAAGTAAAAAATTCTAATTAAATCTAAAAGCATTCACTCGTGCACATGAGGTCTTGAGTTTGATTCAATTTTTGAAAATTAAAAATCGACTATTTGATCCCATTCCCATTCTTTTTTCATTCTTCGATTCATTAATCTTTCATTTTTAGTAAGTAAATATGTCATAATTTATTTATTTGATAAAAAGAAAACTCAATTTAAATCAGATTATAAACTTGCATATAGCTATAATCAGTTCCATATAATTATGTATCTACCTCCTCTCGATCAAGTAACAAGAAATATAAATATAAGGCTTTAAACAAATCGTTGGTGGCAAATAAAAATTGCTTTAGTCCGGGTGTAAAACCGGTTTTTGAATTTTATCAATATGGTTAAATCAAATTCAAAAATGGAATTGAATTGGGGAGGCGGGGAGTTGTACTTTTTAGACAAACGAATGGGAATGCATGCAAGAGCTAGCGGGGCCCACAACCGCGTAGACAAAAAAGGGTATTACAAAAATTTAGTACCTCGTCTTGCTTCTTAAATGGCCGTTGTTAATCAAATGAATCGAAGAGAAACAATATAAAAAAATTAACAAAATGAGACAGAAGTAAAAAACAAAAAGAGAATATGTCAGAAGTAAAAAATGTGTGTGAATAGCACTAGGTTAGGTGTGAAATCCCTTCGTGAAGGCGCTTGCCTTGTCCTATAAATATTCTCAATTCCCTGGATTGTCTGCAAACCAGTCCATCCTGTTTAATCAAATTCCGTTAATTTCGCGTGAGTCTGCGGATAGCATATGTCTCAGAGGCCTACCGTCCCCCACTCTTCCTCCATCGCCTTCAGCCTCCATTCCCATCTCCTCGTCTCCAGTGAGATGAACCCTAATTCCAACTGGCCCTCTTAATCATCATTAAACTTTCTAATTATTCCTTTTAACTGGATTTTGGGAACGACAAACAAAAACCACCCCTTTGTTCTTATTTTCCGTTTCTTCCCCGAGAAAATTCGACATGGGTGTCAAAGGTTTTGTTGAAGGAGGCATCGCTTCCATCATCGCCGGCTGCTTCACCCACCCTCTTGACCTCGTCAAGGTCCGAATGCAGCTCCAGGGCGAAACCCACGTCTCGAACCCGGCTAAGCAGACAGTGCGCCCGGCTTTTGCTTCCGTCCACACAGCCGCCAGACGCGGCTCCATCCCCCTCGCCCCACCACAGCCTCCTGCGGTCCGTGCCGGTCCAATCACTGTTGCGGTTCGCATAATTCAGCAAGAAGGCGTCTCCGCCATGTTCTCTGGCGTCTCCGCCACCATGCTCCGGCAGACTCTCTACTCCACAACCCGAATGGGCCTCTACGACATTCTCAAGCAAAAATGGACCGACCCGACAACCCGCAACATGCCACTCCCCCGCAAAATCACAGCAGGATTGATCGCCGGAGCGGTCGGCGCCGCAGTCGGAAACCCTGCCGACGTGGCCATGGTCCGAATGCAAGCAGACGGGCGTCTCCCGGCTGCTCAGCAGCGTAACTACAAGAGCGTGGTGGACGCCATCGGCCGCATGGCCAAGCAAGAAGGGGTGACGAGCCTTTGGCGAGGGTCGTCGCTGACGATCAACCGCGCGATGCTGGTGACAGCGTCGCAGCTGGCATCGTACGATCAGATTAAGGAGACGATCGTGGACAAAGGGATTATGCGCGACGGGCTCGGGACCCACGTAACGGCGAGCTTCGCAGCGGGGTTCGTGGCGGCGGTGGCGTCAAACCCGGTCGACGTGATCAAGACTAGGGTGATGAATATGAAGGTGGAGGCCGGGGCTGAGCCGCCGTACTCGGGGGCGTTGGATTGCGCCCTCAAAACGGTGCGTTCGGAGGGCCCCATGGCGCTTTATAAAGGCTTTGTGCCTACGATTTCGCGGCAAGGGCCTTTTACCGTTGTGCTGTTTGTGACGCTGGAGCAGGTACGCAAGCTGCTCAAGGATTTCTGAACGTACGGTTCAGAAAGTGGACGGTGGTGATTGCATTCGATATGATGACGAAAAAAAGTACTTTCTAGGGGAAGAAATCCCCTCCGAATCTCTTACACCAAAGCTCACCAATTAATCCGGATCCCTGAACTTTGATCAAACGGCTATAAACAGGAAACTTCTTTAAAAGTTATAATAATTTAAGTCGTTGGATCAAATTTCAAAGATCTAGATTAATTGATTCGTGAGCTTTGGTGGGAGAGATCCGGAGGGGATCTCTTCTCACTTTCTAGAATATGGGCATGTGTCTTTTTTTTTTTATAATTATTATTGTTTAAATTCCTTTAGATTGGGAAGGAATTAACTTAATTAAGAGGTCATTAGCAAAAACACAAAAACAAAAGTAATATATTAAGATGCAATATTGATTCTAAGCAATGTGCCATATAATAAACCTAGGTACTTGTGTATTTGATTGTATTTCAATCCTCTTTATGTTTATCGGATTGTTAAATTTACGATATAGAGTGATGGGTTGATTCTATGATTTGGAGAACCCTAGTTTTATTTGGAATGTTCTTTCGTATCTCAATTGTGTACAAGTTAACACACGACTAATCTATTAAAATGAACTATGTGTATTGTGTTTCATGTTTGGTGAACTTATAAATGTTGAAACTAAACTTACAAAATTGGACAATAGTTGAACATATTATGACTTACAAGTTCCGTCTAGATGGTTAAAACTATACCAAACTGTTCCAGTCACATTGAGTCACCGAAACCAAAATTTTACATACGACCCGATGTGACGACTTAGCTTTTAATTTTGTTTCGAGGGCCGACTTTAATCCCTTCACATTTGACATAAACCAACTAAATTTAATTCCGTCTGGATTTTAAATAATATCATCTTAACACGACATTGTCAATAACGCCAACCAAGGGCTTCGCCATACTTTTCAATTGCATCCACTACCTCTTCCTTGCCTAGTATTGGCGCCGTCATTTTTTTTCTTTTCTTTTTTGTTTTGGGGTGAATCACTATTTTTTGTTTGGTTACAAGTGAATCACGAGATTGTGAATTAAACATTGTAGAAAAGATAGAATTTGCATTTGCGTATTAAGTAATTGAGTTACTTCTCATGTTAACTGTCAATTGATTTTATAGTGAAATTTAACTTTCTTCATGGTATCAAAGCAACTTATTCCATCTATAAAGTCCAACGGCCACGCCTCATCCATATTATCCATTTTATGTTGTCTACGTGTTAGGCTTGAAAGGGTAATGCTAAGGAGACCACACCTAATCCACACTTGATCCACATCACCCATTTTGTGTTGTCTACGTGTTAGGGTTGAAAGGGTAATGCTAGGGAGATTAAAATTTTAAACCAAATTATGTAAACGAAATGATGTGGTTGTTGATTATTAAATTATTAATTAAGTGTCGATTGACGTGTTTATTTCCTATTTGTGACACATCATTTGATTTGCAAATTTGGTCTCCCTAGTAGTACCTGCTTGAAAGTTCACAATAGGAGAAAGAGACACCTTGCATGTGTTCGTAAGTAATTGAGTTACTTCACATATTCTTAATTGGTTTTATAGTAAAACTCTAACATTTTTCACAAGATCGCCTCTTTTTTGGATGTAAAATTCATGCTCTTAACAATATTTATATTTAAAGATAAGATGGATCCCATGAAAATGATTGTTAGTAGGATTTGGATCCTCTCCTGAGCTAATGGAAAGGATCCTCCTCATCAATCATCCTTGACTGTTGGATTTTTATCCAACGGCTACAAACAGGGGGTACCTTTAAAGTTATAATGATTGTAGCCGTTGGATAAAAATCCAACGGCTAAGGATGATTGATGAGGAGGATCCTCTCCATTAGCTCAGGAGAGGATCCAAATCCTTGTTAGTAGGCATGATACTATGATGATTTGCATCGTAGAATGGGGTTAGTGCTTAATTATAGTCAATAGGCTTAGAAATTTCTAGGAAAGTGACAAGACTCGAACAACTTGACAAGTTGGGAGATATAATATAATGGCGGGTTCTAAGGTGCATTTATTTCGAAATGGCACTTTAAGAGTTAGTAGTGCAACGTATTTTGCACCACCAAATTCAATGGACCATTGCATTCATGCTTTAGCCCCATCATGTGTGCTCAAATCTCAATCAAAGTTTGTTCCTGTCTTGTAATCATTATTAACACTCTAAAATAGTTTTTTTTTTTTTTTTTACTTTTTCTCATAGATACCACAAACCCGGTAAAAATCAAATCTTCAAGTATCGTCCTCTCTGATTGTGCTCAATATCATTTTCATGATTTTGGGCTTCCTACGTAGTCGGTTTAGTAGTTGTTTCTCCACATGTCATAATATAAGTAGATAGAAAATATATTTTTAATGACCCTTCGCTTATATTAGGACACATAATGTACCAATTTATATTTCGGGTACTCCCGCAAAATCTCTATCTATACTCAGGCCTAGTTCCCACATTTTAACACCAAGTGGTGCTTGTACATTCTTATATAAGGCATATGAATTGGGCAAATGTCATTTTCCCACGTCAAAATTCGTTACTCGGAACTTTGTGCTCGTGTTGTCTCCTTAGTTCTGCCACTGGCCGGCGTTTCTTCTTCATTGGAAATGAAATCAAATAAGGTCGTCTTCTACGTTCGGTACACACTGCACCCACATAAAAAATCGTAGCTGATGACTGTATTTCTCCATGTTACATACGTGCAACATCTTTCAGCATGGAATGTACTTCTTCCATCGATCCTGGTGGCGACAAGTCTCTTTCTTTCAACGAGTTCCCGCGTAGTCTTTGCATTTCTGATGCAAATATGTCATCCAGGTTCTGCCATTATAAGAACAATGATTAGCACTCTAGTACAAGTATACAAAAATCATTAGTACAAATACTAATTCACATATTAAACATTTTATCTTGTTAAGATGAAATAGCTGCAATAACATGTAGATAATCAATATCTAGTAGAAAGTTCAACGGCTGAAGAGAAACTTACAGAAACTGCGACGCGCAAGCCTTTGTACTCCTCTTTCTTATCCTCCAAGATATGCAGTACATCCTACAGAAATTAAATTGGAAAGAAAATTAAATTTTACATGCCAATTCAAGAGAGAGATGTTGTATCTTGTATGGTAAAAACTAAGAGCTCGGCTTACCTGCCCCATCCGGTCCTAGAACTCTCGGCAGAGTTCTACAAACACGGTAGGATCAACAACAGTATGGAGATGATCAACCATCTCCCGCAAAAGAACCTCCAAAGGCTGCATTCTACTTCGGACAACTGATTCCTCCGCCTTTGAGCATCGAATAATGTTCTTCAGCTTTGTATTGTTATGAACTCTAGTCTGTATTTACAAGGAAATAGAAGAAAAATCATTTATTAGTCAAACTCGTAAAGTTTTGTAGTTACACGATAGTTCGACAACATTGATGCACATGCACATTTCAAACTGAAAATTCAGTACTCACATTCTCATAAAGCTTCTCGACAATGGCTAGTCGGTAGGTTCTAAGTTTGGTTCTGAGTAGAGCAGATACGTCATTAAGATGTTCGCCTGTGGCACATCCATCGCGGATGCAAGAAGTCCGAGACATCAACTGGCTTTCAATCTGGGGCCACAGCACATCGAGCGTCCTCTTCATGGAATTTAAAAGGATTCCTAACTGAGAAACGATACATAATATTGAAGAGTATACCCTAATAAGAAAGATCGAAGTTCCAAGTAGATGTTCAAGTAAGAAATAGAGCCTCACCTCATTTGGGACCGAATATGTGCTAATGGTTTGTCTGGATAATTTTTGGACATATTTGAAGCCTAATATTTTGTTTGTCAGATTATCCTTCAGCGGCGATAAAACATCAGCATAGTGCCTGTCCAAAGCTTCGATGATTGCCCTTTCAACATCCGCGATAACCTTTTTAACACACAAGCGATCTCAAAGCGTTAGTCAGACGATTTGAGGTTCAAATATGAAACAACACAGAAAGATGCTACACGTGAAGTCGGAAATAAAAACATTAAAACCTCGAGAAGTATATTTCACTTACATTCTCCAAAGGAGATGAATATATCGGCCAGCGACTAATGATGACTTCAAATTCATCGAGCATTCCCTTCAGCTCAATTTGCATATAATCAACAAAATGAGTTGTTCCATAGTCTGTCCTCACACCAGACCATTTTGCCTGAAACGAAACAACTTCTATCAGATTTATACCCAAAAATAAAAAGAAGAGAGACGATACTCGAAATATAAAACCAAAAGGATTATAAAAGCATGCCAAAAGAGATATATACCTTATCTAGCTTGCACTGACCAAGCAAATGACGGCGCTTGTCCAGAATCCACAAGAATATATGTGCGTCGAACAGCTCTTTAGCATCAACTCCACCTTTAATTGGACTAGAAATAGTTTTACATGAGTAAAGATACAAAAGCTAATAAAGAGCACAAATTTACACCAGATAATTCACTTACCTGATATTCCACAGAGACAGATCCTGTTGAAAGTCTGCTGTTGCAATAATTAGCTCTGCAACCGGAGGCGATAGGCTTGGAGGAGGGCGTACAACAAGGAAAGTGCTCAATCTATTGCAGAGGTTAACGCTATATATGCATGATGAAATATTCGGAAGATCTATGCAGCTGCATAAAAATTTATAAAGAGGAACAATTACTATACACGTACAAGTCATATTCAGTTATTCACCAGTCATCAGCTCTGAAGTTCAAGATTCTCAACAACCAAAAACACCGAAATATATATATATATTTCTTAAGTGCGGTTAACCACATTTGCAGATCCTCAAAATTGCACCGAGCATATTCAATGCAATTTCGCCCATCTGCGTCTGTGGTTAACCGCACTGGATATAGTTACACTAGTAAAAACAAAAATACAAGAACAAAATAGACTAGTTTACGGAATGGCATACATACCCCGGGAGGACATTTTGGTTTACGATTTCTATGTCAGTCAGAATTTCATTTCTAATATTCAAAATCAAAGATTTCATCCTCTGATAAGAAGTAAGAAAGTCTTTCTGTGCCCCCTCATTACTGGTTAGAACAAGCTCATCTGTCTCGGCACAGATCATTCTTAACCTCTTGTTTGCGGCGACCTGCAAAGTCATTTCATATTCAGTAAAGCATAAAAAGGTTAGGCGAAGCTCATGGACGGAGAAGTAAGATTATCATACCTGAAAGAATTTCAATAATTTCAATTGTGCCTCAGGACTCAAAATATCGTTCAGAAGGGTGTATATCTGGACAGCAGGTGCCAAAGCAGGCGCAACCAATCCACTGGCAGGCCTAAAATCATCCACCATCCCCAACAGCGAAGATTCTTCAAGTGACTTGTAGTTCTCAAAAACCAAAGCAACCAACTTCCTTACTTGATCCTCAATCTTCGCCAGAATGCAGTGCTGTTCGATACATTATTTCAAGTTATAAGTGGAAACAACTATCCACTAACCATGGCTAACATCAAGGAACATAAACTGAAGAAAATTTCACATTTTATGTTCACGAAGGTAGTGTCATTCTCCCTAGCCAAAATATCTCCCCGAAAAGTCTAAAAACAATACGATGAAATCGAATACCTCTTGATGACTTAACAGATTTGTGCTCATTTCCTTCACATCTGCTAGCAGATCATATACTAAGGTGAGACAATCTACGGTAGGGGTCGTGACATCCATGACATAGGAAAGGTATCTGCAAGTAGCATGAAATTTTTATATAATAGCCGTTAGAAGATCCATAGTCGGTAATATTCCACCACCTTAGTTCTAACATGATATCATGATAAGTTACTTTTAGTCCTAACATATTTCGCTACCTTAAATTGGTGTATGCCTTTGATACTCCATAGTAAGATGCAAATTCCGTCAATAACCACTTCCACGGGCCATGTAATAACAAATTTCTTTCCTGAAAATGTTGAACTTTCATTGCAATTTCTAAGACACAGTCATATGCCACAGTTTCTGCAACGGAACCATACTGGACAAGGAAAGAAGCGAAAAGAGAATATAAAAAACCGAACTCCAAAGATACGTCAATCAGTTTCGAAGAAAGGATTTAGCTATCGTTGAATATTAACAACCTTAAGATTACTATTTTCAACTGGACCACTTGAATAATCCATGCTTAATTGTATTCTGCCGACAGGTTCATCCTCCGGATCACTACTATATATAGGCCACCATCGTATCTTGTCGCCCTGCATTCAAAATACATATTTAATTCCAAAGCATAAATATCAACCTTCGTACAGATAGCAAGTGAATTACTGAATTCTGAAAATTGTACCGGTTCATCAGCAATAGCAGCCACTTTGACTAGGGCATGACCACAATGTTGTCCCTTGGAATTTTGAACTTGTATGATCACGCCATCACCAACGCTGTTTGGAAACCTGTAGTAAAGCAGTTGTTTAACAATACAACTACGTACAATGGTACAAGTATGGACCGAATGAAAGAGTGAATGAAAAGAGAAAATAAAGAACAAGAGTACATACAACACACGGGTTTCACCAGATCCTGGTTGCATTTGTACTGCATCCTCTTCAGGTGAACTTGTCAATCTCAAGAAGCAGGAATAAGTTTCTGACAGAAAGAGGTCGGCAAATGTCAGATACTACGCACAAAAGAAAACCATCTGCACTTTAGTATCTAAGGGAATGCTTAAAATGTACAAAAGATTCACATACCTTGCGCTCCTTCATGCAAGGAAGAGCGATTGCACAAAGTATTTGCCCTCGTTTTTAGGAAGCTTGATCCTTGTTTTATACATTTCCTTCCAGCTCCTAGGCAAGCCAAGCTCCAATGAAAAAGGGAACCGTTAGAGATCAACTTTATGTTCTGTGTAGATTTCAATGCAGAAGATAAAGTTGATCTCAAATTAGAGAAGCGCCTACGACATGAGCCATAACGAATCCTTGGTAGTTTTGGAGATGGGAAACTGCAGCTAGAAGGTTGTTCATCCGAATCCATTTTCACTTTACGAACTGTTGAATGACGAAATTTCAGTGAGACAATGAAGATCTTAACATTTTAATTGAAAAAGAAAATGAGGAATTCAATGAAGTAGGGTACCTTGCAATTTTATTTTTCCTGAAGCTTTCACATGTTTTGGAGCAGGAGCAGCTAATGTACTGATTGGCTGTGAAGGACGCTGTTCTGCCAAAAGTTCAGCTTCTGATTGCAATAATACATGCTGTAAACCGAATGCATATCGCAACAGTGCGCTCTCATTCTCCAAGAAACCTTGAACTTCAGCGCAATAGCTCTGAGCCCACGCATGAAGACAGAGCCTAACACACGCATCATAAGCGATTACAGCACACCATGTACCCTGCACACTGAATAAATAAAACCCCCAAAACTTAAAACGACTACTGGATCAGTGAGATAACTATCAAATGTAGAACAGTTCAGTGTTGTCGTAAAAATTTCTCTAAAGCACTTATATTCAATAATCAAACACCGAATCATTATGTGGTTATTCAAAATATAATTCAGCTATGTAACCAACCTTTCACTAAATACTGGGAGGCAAGCAGGTGAACGAAGTAGCGAGTTAGAAGTTCCATTGCCGGAAGAATAGTGCATAGGGCTGCTTGAGTAGACACTTCTGTTTTTCTTAAACGATTAGTGTTTGCTGGAACACTCCAATTCGAAGTGTGAGCTGTGTTGTATGCTCTAATAGGTGAACTTGGCTCAACAACACGTTCAATCTCCGAAACAGAACCATCAAGTGGAGGAGTGATGGGATTACTATTCGAAAGCTTATTTTTGGATGTTGTTTCTATATTACCACTTGAATTGTATGATCTCTTCTGGGCACCACCATTGTTGCTTTTCGTTTGCGTAAACGGAAGTTCGGTACTAGTGATCGAATCAGACAATTCATATTCGGTAAAATCAGGGTATATAGCTTGGTTCCTTCCAAACTCCCCAGCCATTCTCAATTGGATTTTCTCCCTCGACAAACTGGATTCGGTCTGAATTTGATCACAACCCTGAATTCGCTGCCTTTGCTTCGATGCCACGCCTTTAGAACCCAAAGTATTGGAAGCTCTGTCATCCAAGGGAGACCATGCAACTGAGTACTTCCTATCAGTGGCCACATTCTCACAGTCAGAGTCTGTGTCCATGTCTGAATCGCCGCTATTCATTCCTCCTCCATTCCTCAAGTTGTTGACGGCAGATTGTACTTTATGTTTCTGTTACACACAAAACCATATTAGAAAATTTCTATGCCATGCGCGCGACCGCGCACACTCACAAAGAGTTGGCAAGTCATCAAAGACTAGAAATTTCGAAGCCAACAACTTTAAACCGCAGCTAAATTCTTAACAAAAAGCGCGTACCTCTCCAACCCATCTAAGACCATTGGTGTCCATCCCTTGGTCGAACACAATTGTCGAAACTCCTTTTGACCTAACAGATTCACCAATATCAAAACTTGTTTGTAGAGAAAATCTGGGAAGCAACAAACAAGACTCGTTTATTGGTCCGATGACAAGTAGAGTGATCAACCAAGTGCTTATGCTTTTGGGAACCCCTCTTTAAAAAAACAACAAATGATTTGGGGGAAGAAGATTGTTACCCCTTTTATTTACTTATTTTGTTTTTCTAAAGATCTTTTGATCAAACAGGAAACTTGTGAGAAAAAGCACTTTCCAAAGAAGAATAAATGTACTTAATAACTAAGAACAATTGAGATTTGAGACTTACCCAAATCAATATCATGGAGCTTTTGAAGGCAACTCTCTAAAATTGTTGGGTTTTGCTGTCTCTCTCTCTCTCTCTCTCTCTCTCTCTCTCTCTCTCTCTCTCCCTCTCCCCTCCAGGAAATCTTCCTTTTTGTATCCTGTAAATTCCCTCTAGTTTTTGGTATTCAAAATAGGAAAACTTAGAATGCCCTACATTTTTTATATAGTTGTTAGATTAAACATTCATCATTTCTAAAGATTTCATTAAGGTGCTTTGATCAATTGCCACCTCAATAATTTTCTATTTATTTAATTTCCAAGTCATTAATTTAAATGCATTTATATAGAGGCATAAGGTAGGTTAGCAACTAATTGCCTATAATACAGAAATTTAATTTTGTTAATCCCCTTCTATACATTAAATTACATTTTTTTAATAAAATAAAATAAAAAATTAATTAACTAATTCCTCAATACCTTATTATCAGTATTTTAAAAAAAAATTCTGTTTCTATTAAAAATGTCTCAATAAAAGTCTTCAATAGATATTTTTTTACGTATAGATATATAAAAAATATACTTAAAACTTATGGTACATTTGAGAACAAATGTTTCGACTTTTGGTACATTTAAATTTCAAATATACTGAGAAACCAAATGTACCAAAAATTTTAATGTACCATAAAACCAAATGTACCCATTGTTACGTAACCCTTTTGGTACGTTTAGATTTTAAATGTTCAGAGAAACCAAATGTACCAAAATTTCAAATGTGCCCATTGTCAGGCAACCCTTTGGTACGTTTAGATTCCGAATGTACCAAAAGACCAATGAACAAAAAATCACAAATGTACCACAAAACCAAATGTCTCTATCAGATAACCCTTTTGGTACATTTACATTTCAAATGTACCGAGAAATACAAAAAATCAATTTTACTATAAAACTAAATGTGTCCATATTATAGAAACTAGACGTAGCTATATAATCAAACAAATCTTTATTATGTGTTGGGTCTTCTAAATAATAAAATCTGACAATTTTTTTTTTAATAAATATTCTTCTATATTCACAAAAAAAAAGTAAAATTATAACAAACAATAAAAAAAAAATTCATAGAGATGGATAATAAATGCATAAATATAGGGATAAGAGGGAAAAAAAAACCGAAATGTCTAGGAAAAGTCGTGAAAAACTAAAATTCTAAACAAAATTGAACTTAGGTGAAAAATTGAAATTAATAACCAAAATTTTAGGAAAATGTTTGATCAAATTTTCAAAATGAGTGTATGTTTAGTCTAAAAAATTAAAAAATGAAGCGCCTATATCAAAACGTCCATTCAAAATATAAGGAAATATTTTATTTTGGCTTGAAAATATTCAACCCTCCGATGGGATTAATTCGAAACAAAATAAAAGGGGACTTAAAATAATAATAATAATAATAATTAGGTTCTTATGATCAAGACAGAAGAGCATTTGAAGGAGACGTGCGAATGAAGAGATGCTGACGTGGCATGCGCAATCGCTGTTTCTCATAACGATCGAATTCTCTTCTTAATGGCGCGTCGTTTTTCCATCTCCTTTTAGGTTCACACATTCCATGCACCCACTTAGGACTTGGACTGCATTTTCCTTTCATTTGTGTCTTTAATCATAAGAAAATTAATGAACTGAAACTGATGCCTCTTCCCTATTGAGAAAGACTTACATAAAACGAGTTCATCGTCACGTGGTGTTTCCTATCTAATAATGCATTGCCATGTGCAAGTTTTTCTGCAATATGTGATGGCTTTTGTTTTGTTTTTGCCTTTGTTTCTTGTAAAATGAGGTTTTATCTTTAAATTCGAGATTTGAAGCATTAATAACAATTTTTTGTCATAATGAGGATGTGAGGGATGGAACAAATGTGATTGGTGAGTTAGATCAGTGGTTCACTATCACACTGATATTGTCTCAACTTAACCACCTACACAGTCTGGCAAGTGTTGGATCTTCTTGCAAAGGTCCTTGGTGATTTTAAGTAACTGTATATTCTGTCAAGTTTTCAATAAACCCTAATGAAACCTTATTGAGCAAAAACTCAATAACTAAATAAAATAAAACTAATAAAATGAAGTGTAATGTTATGTCTTGAGTTGTTGGATTATTTGAATAGTCTATTAGAGTGAAAGGCGAGTAAATGCACAACTTCACAATGTAGAACTTTGGGACCCTTTTCATTTTAGCTTATGCCTTGTGGTGCAAACAATGCTGGAAGAAGTGATAACTTTCAGATTAGATTTAAGATTTGATGTTGAAAGATATATTGGTTCAAATTCGCTCTTGGTGAGAGTCAAACTTGAGATGCCACTTACGAGTGAATAGAAATATCGCTAAACAGTAGTATTAAATTATCGATAGAAATTTCAATGACATTCACCGAAAGATTTTGCAATGATGTTTCGTTTTACCAAAATTATCAATACCGCTAAGATATCTCCCAAATTTTGGAGAAATCCTAGGAAGATATTGCTTCAGCCCCTGTACAATTCTTTTGTGTTTTTTTGGGGATGGGGAAAAGTGTAGAGAAACAAGAGAAAAATAGGTCAATCTCTTTTCTTCCCCTTCTTGTTGGTTAATTGTAGTTTGGCACTCGACCAAAGAAAGGGAAACAAATGTCGAGAAACAAATTTAAATTTGTATTAGCA